TCATTAGCCATACATGAACTGTTTAACCAGGTATGAGGGCTTTAATTAAAATTGGAAATTTTTATTCAAATTTTGTTGTTTTAATTGTGTTGTAATGGAAGATTATTGTTTTAGTGTGTATTGCTCGGAATTCCGCTTTGGCCTTCTATACTTAAAGAGGATATATTCTATATTCTCTGGTAATGTATAAGTTCTTTTTCATCAGAGCTTAGGTTACATATATCTGCTCTGTTCCCCCACGACCGCCACTCGTGGATACGACTATACCTATATATACGGAAGGGGGCCAACCAATCAGAGGCGTGTAAGAGAGAGAAAGGTTGTACTGCTATTTGTCTTTTGTCTCTCTCATCTCGTCTCGCGGTCGGAGCATACAATGCTTCCTCCATGTATATATTCTCTAAGGTGAGTCCGTATGTGCATTATGAGACTGGATTTTCGACTAAATGTTTTAGAACAAGTTGCGCACTCGAAGGATTTCTTGCCTGAGTGGATTTTCATGTGATTTGTGCGGTCACTGTAATACTTGAAAGATTTATGACATACTAAGCACTCAAAGGATTTATCCCTCGTGTGGGTTCGCATGTGCTGTCTGAGGGTACTGGAAAATGTAAAAGCTTTTTGACATACTGAGCACTTAAAGGGTCTCTCCCCTGTGTGACTCCGTATGTGCTTTGTGAGGTTAGAAAATAATGTAAAACTTTTTTTACATATTATGCACTCAAAGGGTTTCGCTCCTGTGTGAGACCGTATGTGATGTGCGAGATAATCTTTTCGACTATATGTTTTAGAACAATCTGAGCATTTGAAGGGTTTTGTCCCCATATGAGTTTGTTTGTGTCTTACAAGGGTAAGTTTTCGACTAAACGTTTTAGAACAAATTGAGCACTCGAACGGTCTCTCGCCCGTGTGAATGAGTTGGTGCTCTTTAAAATCTGTAAGATTAGCAGATAATTTACCGCAGATCTCGCAAAGTCTCGTACCGGTGCTCTTCAGTGCTGATCTCATGGTTGGATTTTCGTTAATAATGGCCCCTGTACAGTTGATAAATAGTTGGACTTCGATGTGTGACAAACACGAAGAGAAAGTTTCTATAATCTTAGTGGTAGCTTCGTTGTCCCCAGTTCTTTTACTCCAGTAACTGTCGTTTATTGTTAAGGAACTGGATACGTTGCTTTTTTGTCTATAAATAGAACAGAAAAATCAATTATTCTAACGGAAAGTATAATAACGAATTTATACGTTGATACATTTTTATAATGTACTGTTAAATGTCTTTAAAGTGTACTATTTTATTATTTTCAATGTTTTTATAATAGTGTGAAATTGGATTTTATGTACACTTTATGTACATGACGATGGAAATGTCTAAGGTGATTTTCGACAAATCATGGAAGGAAATGCAATATCCCTCTGTTCCATTAATTACAATCGAATAAATGTTCAAAGATGAGTTTTACAACCTTAGGAAAAGTTAAACTTACTGCAGATATCTGGTGTAAAATTCTATTTAATATTATCTCTAATATNCCCATATGAGTTTGTTTGTGTCTTACAAGGGTAAGTTTTCGACTAAACGTTTTAGAACAAATTGAGCACTCGAACGGTCTCTCGCCCGTGTGAATGAGTTGGTGCTCTTTAAAATCTGTAAGATTAGCAGATAATTTACCGCAGATCTCGCAAAGTCTCGTACCGGTGCTCTTCAGTGCTGATCTCATGGTTGGATTTTCGTTAATAATGGCCCCTGTACAGTTGATAAATAGTTGGACTTCGATGTGTGACAAACACGAAGAGAAAGTTTCTATAATCTTAGTGGTAGCTTCGTTGTCCCCAGTTCTTTTACTCCAGTAACTGTCGTTTATTGTTAAGGAACTGGATACGTTGCTTTTTTGTCTATAAATAGAACAGAAAAATCAATTATTCTAACGTGGGTAACTTAAAAGAGTTTTCAAAGCATTTCAAATAAGAGCTTTCATCACATACTGTAAAAAAAAAAATTTCATAATTTTTTTACCAAACACCTTAGTCTGCTACTAATTTATTTTTTCATAACAGCTATTTTCCGGAAAATTCGAAGATAACTTTTAATGACATGAAATCCGTATAATACTAGGAACATCGATTATATATTTTTTTTTTCCAGAGTGCAAAAATATTTTTTTCCTACCTCGGGCGTTTTTGAGAGGCTGGTGGGCACTCGGTAGGAAAAATAGCATTCGCCACAGAAGCGCCATCGCTCCGTGGCTACCGCAAAATAGCCCCGGAGACGATGGCACTTATCCGATGAAAACTACTATTTACAAGTTACGTACCGTTTTTTTACGAGCTTATGATAAAAATAGTACTATTTGCTAGTATTTACTTTATTTTAATGACAAAATACACAAAGAGTATCCCGTTTTTGTCCTCAATTTTATTAAAAAATCTGGAGACAAAAACAGGATTTTTTTAAGTTCTATTCGCTCCGAGCCGATGCAGAGGTTGCGCCCCCTCTAGCCAAAATCAGGCAACATTTCTTGCATGTAAACAAACGGTTTAGAACATATATACATACGTATAGCTGCTTGTGATTGGCACTTGGCAAGCTAGAGAGAGAACGACGATCCTCTCCTGCTGTCATATTCAGCCAATCACAAGCAGCTATACGTATGTATATATGTTCTAAACCGTTTGTTTACATGCAAGAAATGTTGCCTGATTTTGGCTCGAGGGGGCGCAACCTCTGTATCGGCTCGGAGCGAATATCGATGTATGTACGGACTCAAGAGGCCTTTTTACGAACTTTTTTGTTTACTACCGCATTGGTTACTAAAGAAATTGGTACTCGAAGTGTAAGCGTGTAAATATAAACTCTGCTTCCATTTATTTATTTTTTAAATAGCGTTTATTCAATGATGAAGATTTACATGGACTTACATTTAAAAATTTGTATAAAAATGTAAAAGAAATTAGCTAAAATTAAAAAATTTGTTTAAGATCACTGACACTTACAGGTAAAATATAATTCACGCTATTACAAGTCAATACATTGTTTTATTTATGGAACCCAAGCATGTATATCATTTGCGTTTTAGTGTCACAATTTTCCATTAAAGATATTTTAATTGACATGTATTATTGTTTGAAGTGCAGATTCGAAAAATGTTTTTGTAGAAAAAAAGAAATGTACCTTTCTAATTCATCAATTTATATTATTATTATTTGCCTATGCTTCCTTATATCTATTAATTAATGGCTCTTGATACAACTAATTTGGCCAAAACTTTTTTGACATACTAAGAACTCGAAGAACCCTCGCTCGTGTGGGTCCTCATATGCCTTTTAAGATTACTCGCGTCGGTGAATGGCCTTTGGCAGATGGAACAGCGATAAGAAGGTATACCGGTATGGACACGCACGTGTCTCTTGAGATTGCTTTTTAGTCCAAAAGATTTTGGACAAACTGGACATTTATAGGGCCTTTCTCCCGTATGGGTCTTTATGTGCCTTTTAAGATTACCCATGTCCATGAATGGCCTTTGGCAAATGGGACAATGCCCGCAAGGTATGCCGGTGTGGACACGCATATGAGTTGTTAGAAGTTTTTTCTGGCTGAAAGATTCTGGACAATCTGTGCATTTATAGGGTTTTTCCTCTTTGTGGGTCCACATGTGCTTTGCGATATTACTATGAGATATGAAACCTTTTTGGCATACCGAGCACTTGTAGGGTCGTTCGCCTGTATGGGTCCTCATGTGCACTTTAAGACTACTCGGGTCAATGAATGGTTGTTGGCAGATTAAACAGGGCCCATAAGGTATGCCAGTGTGGATGCGCATGTGCCTCCTGAGATTGGTTTTTAGACTAAAAGATTCTGAACAATCTGCACACTTATAGGGTTTCTCCCCTGTGTGAGTCCGCATGTGCTGTGTGAGGTCACTGGAAGATCTAAAACCTTTTTGACATACGGAGCACGTGTAAGGTTTCTCTCCTGTATGGATCCTCATATGCACTCTAAGACTGCTCGGGTCAGTGAATGGCCTTTGGCATATAGTACAATTACCATAAGGTATGCCAGTGTGGACGCGCATGTGCCTCCTGAGATTGGTTTTTAGACTAAAAGATTTTGGACAATCTTTGCACTTAAACGATTTTTTTTCTGCATGGATCCTCATGTGTTTTTTGAGGTTACCGGAAAATGTAAAACCTATTCGACATACCGAGCACCTATAAGGACGCTCTTCTGTATGAATCCGTATGTGACATACGAGATCAGTTTTTCGACTAAACGTTTTAGAACAAATTGAACACTCGAAGGGTTTCTCGCCCGTGTGAACAAGTTGGTGCGATTTAAAATGTGCAATTTTGGCAAACGTTTTACCACAGACCTCGCAAAGTCTCGTACAAGTGTTTTTCAGTGCTGATGTCATGATTGGATTTCCGTTAATAATGGCCCCTGTACAGTTGATAAATAATTGGACTTCGATGTGTGGTAAACACGAAGAGAAAGTTTCTATAATCTTAGTGGTAGCTTTGTTGTCCCCAGTTCTTTTACTCCAGTAACTGTCATTTATTGTTGAGGAACTGAACGCGTTGCTTTTTTGTCTATAAATAGAACAGAAAAATCAATTATTCTAACGGAAAGTATAACAACGAATTTATACGTTCATATATTTTTAATTTTTGCTGTTAGATGTATTGGATGGAGTACTATTCTCTTGTTCCTACTGCTTATGTAGTATAGCGAAAAACTTAATTTCATGTGTAATGCATATAATTACGTTCTAATGGAAATGCCCAAGTGGATCTTAACAGTTCATATAAGTAAATGCCGTCCTTCTGTTCTGTCGATTACAAAAGAGTAAATGTTCAACGATTAGTTCTACAACCTCAGTAAAAGCAAAACTTATCGTAACTCTATGGTATAAAATCTAAAATGTTAAAAGAAAGAAATGGCGATGTAGAAAATCTACGTGTTACAACATACTCTGGGTATTTTTTGCATTTCAAGGTATTTACTGTGTTTTGTACAATTACATCAGGTTATTTTAATTGAAAATAAAAACTTACTATTTCTGCGTCTAGATTTTAAACCAATGGATGTTGATAAATATTTATTGTCTTGTCCAAATATACGTTGTGTCCGGTTTAGTAGTTCTATTTAATTTTGTCTCTGGTGTAATAGGCGTTGCCTTTTGATGAACTCATGAATTTATTTTAACTTATTAGTACGGAAACTTGTAAAAAAATAGGCTTTGTACTATTATATTGTGTACCACTACAAAGAGGAATATCGTCACAATACATTGAAATTTTTCGTATCGTGGATAAATGAAAAACGTCAACGTGTACAATTTAAGGCTCAAATTCTACTGATACTACAATATAAATGACGTTATTTCTGTATCCGTCCACAGTAAGCTTTAAAATGTTAATAGTACAATAATGACTCTAAGACGTATGTATAGTCAGAAAGTTTGGACGTGGTGCTTCTTGGCAACGTTGGCCTGACAAAAGTCATTATGTGTTTTATCATCGAAAAAATAAAATTGTGTGTAGGATTAAACCTATTCTTAACTTGAACACCAAATTATACGATGATACAAACATAATTCAACGTATTATGTACAAGTAAAATTTTTTAGAAAAACGTGGTTGAGATACATGGAGTAACATAGTGTCCTAAAGTCAATCCTTTTTTTCGTTAATAATAAGCTCCTTTTTAATAGTTCGATCATCTCAACAAGAATCTCTAATTCCTTAACTTTACTATGAAATTTTTTTCAGCATGAGATTTTGCTTTACTAAGTTGAGTTGAGTTAATAAGATTTATATACCTTTGTGGCTTGTACGCATAAGCTACATGGCACGTGTCAGTAAAGTGCGTGAGAGAAATAGACATAGATAGAGCGTACTTAGTATTACTAACACGTGCTACATAGCCATTAATCTCGTGCTGAAAAAAATACCATAGTTAAGGTAAAAAATTAGAGATTATTATGAAGATGACCACACTATTAAAAAATATCTTATTATTAACGAAAAAAATTATTGACTTTGGGCAACCATGCTATACTACTTGTGTAGCAACTCAATGTATTCTCGTAACCACGTGGACTCACCATCCAGCCACAAGTTGGCGCTGGGTATTTAATGTACAGGGAACCCACGGACCTACATAAAAGTAAACTGTTATTTATTTTTTAAATAGCGTTTATTCAATGATGAAGATTAACATATACAGACTTAGATTTAAAGGTTTGAAAGAAAAATACAATAATTGAGCTTAAATTAAAAGGTTGGTTTAAGGTAACACGGATAGGTAAAATAGGATTATACGCTGTTATACGTAAATACATTGTTTTATTTGTTTTTTTACACATAAGCGCCAACTAACTGAGACTACCCTACAGTAAACAGTACAGTATCTCGGGCCGCGCAAAGTAGCTTCAATGGTGGTGGTGCTTCTGTGAACAAAACTAATTACTTACGGACATCATCTGTTTTTGTTTTTTTTTACTGGATTCTCTCGAAGGTTTTTTCCTCGTATGGGTCCTCATATGATTTTTAAGACTATTCGCGTGCCTAAATGGCTTTTTGCAGATGGTACAAAAACCGTAAGGTATGCCTGTGTGGATGCGCATGTGAATTTTAAGAGTACCTTTTTGCGCAAAAGAGTTTGGACAATTTGCACACTTATAGGGTTTTTCCCCGGTATGGGTCCGCATGTGATCTGCGAGTGAACTAGAAGATCTAAAACCTTTTTGACACACCGAGCACTTGTAGGGTCGCTCCCCTGTGTGGGTCCTCATGTGTACTATAAGATTACTCGAGTACGTAAATGGCTTTTGACAGATGGTGCAGTGACTAAAAGGTATGCCAGTGTGGACGCGCATATGAGTTGTGAGGTGGTTTTTTTGGCTGAAAGATTTTGGACAATTTGCGCACTTATAGGGTTTTTCCTCTTTGTGGGTCCACATGTGCTTTGCGATATTACTACGAGATATGAAACCTTTTTGGCATACCGAGCACTTGTAGGGTTTTTCCCCTGTGTGCGTCCGTATGTGTAAAACGAGATTAGTTTTTCGGTTAAATGTTTTAGAACAAGTTGAGCACTCGAAGGGTTTCTCGCCCGTGTGAGTCATCATGTGTTTTTTGAGGTTAGAAGATAATGCAAAACCTTTTTGACATGTTGGGCACTCAAAAGGTTTTTCCCCTGTGTGGCTTTGGATGTGTCTCCTGAGATTGCTTTTTTGGCTGAAATATTTTGGACAATCTGTGCACTTATAGGGTTTTTCCTCTGTGTGGGTCTGCATGTGCCTCCTAAGATTACCTTTTTGGCGAAATGATCTAAGACATTCTGTGCACTTGAAGGGTTTTTTGCTCGTGTGGGTTCCCATGTGCGTTGAGAGGTTAACTGAAGATTTAAAACTTTTTTGACATACTATGCACTCAAAGGGTTTCTCCTCGTTGTGAACAGTCCGTATGTGTCGTATGATAGTATCTTTTTGCCCAAATGTTTTAGAACAATCTGCGCATTTGAAGGGTTTTTTCCCCATATGAGTTTGTTTGTGTCTTACAAGGGTCATTTTTCGATTAAACGTTTGTAAACAAATTGAGCACTCAAACGGTCTCTCGCCCGTGTGAACGAGTTGGTGCTCTTTAAAATCTGTAAGATTAGCAGATAATTTACCGCAGATCTCGCAAAGTCTCGTACAGGTTTTTTTCAGTGCCGATCTCATGGTTGGATTTTCGTTAATAATGGCCCCTGAACAGTTGATAAATAGTTGGACTTCGATGTGTGACAAACACGAAGAGAAAGTTTCTATAATCTTATTGGTAGCTTCGTTGTCCCCAGTTCTTTTACTCCAGTAACTGTCGTTTATTGTTAAGGAACTGGATACGTTGCTTTTTTGTCTATAAATAGAACAGAAAAATCAATTATTTGAACGGAAAGTATAACAACGAATTTATACGTTCATATATTTTTGATTTTTGCTGTTAGACGTATTGGATGGCGTACTATTTTCTTGTTCTTACTGCTTATGTAGTATAGCGAAAAACTTGATTTCATGTGTAATGTATATAATTAGGTAACAAAAATGTCTAAGGGGATCTTTGACGGTTCCAGAAAGAGTAAATATTCAATGGTTAGTCGTACAACCTTAAAACAGCTAAATTAATTAATTTATAAGTAAAACTCTGTTATATCAAATGTAAGAATGTGATGAAAAGAAATGTCGGTGTAGAAAATCCACGTGATACAATATACCCTGGTATGAGTATTTATTGCACTCCGAGGTATTTATTGTGTTTTTTACAATTACAGCAGGTTATTTTAATTGAAAATAAAAGTTGACTATTTCTGCGTCTAGATTTTAAACCAATGGATGTTGATAAATATTTATTGTCTTGTCCAAATATACGTTGTGTCCGGTTTAGTACTTCTATTTAATTTTTTCTCTGATATTATAGGTGTTGCCTTACACCTTTATGAACTCGTGAATTTATTTTCACTCATTATTATGGAAACTTGTAAAAAAATAGACTTTGTACTATAATATTGCATACCACTACAAAGAGGAATATTGTTACAATATATTGAAACTTTGGGTGAAAAACGTCGACGTGAACAATTTAATGCTGAAAACCTACTTCTGACACTATAATAGATTAGGTGATTTCTGTGCCTATCGACAGTAAGCGAAAAAATGTTAATGGCATATTAATGGCTGTTTGTTATGCACGTATCGTCGGAAAGTTTCGACGTGGTGCTTCTTGGCAACGTTGGCCTGACAATAGCCATTATGCGTCGTAGCATCGAAAAAATTAAAAATAATTTATACTATCAAACTTATGAAGTGTTCTAGAAAAATTTGATGAAAAACTTACATGTTGTACAAAGCATGTATACATGAGTTCGTAACTCGAAAGAGTCTTTAATGTGTTCCACAGTTACAAAAAATGTTATTGTTCCTTTACAAAAGATCTTTGTCTGAAACGATTTTTTTTTTTTTTATTCAAAAAAAATTTTTTATTTTATTAACAGCATTTGCTCGAAATATTAGAATACTTTTTTTGATGAGCTACTATCGTTGTCATTAGACTAGGTGATTCAAAATAAAAAAAAAATTAAAAATACGATACATTGAAAAAAAATTCTGTATAATGAAAAAAAAATAGTATTTCTTGTCAGAGACGTGCCATAGTCTCTGGGCCTATCTTTCAGCGTTTTCGAGAGGCTAGTGTGCCCTATAGGTAGGAAGAATAGGATTTGCCACGTAAGTGCCATATTGCACTACGGCTGTCTCACGTCTGCAATATATATACAGCCCAAGAGACGATGGCATTATCTGACGAAAACTACCAATAATTATTGTTGTTTTTTTCAAACAAAGCTAATTTATCTTACGTTAAAAAAAATATTCATTTTAAACAAGAAATCATCGACAAAATCTACTGGAATTCAGAAAATATATATTTAGAAGATACGTCACGCAGTTTCATCATACTGCGTACATGTAATATATTTCTTTGATACACCTATTTACGAATGTCCAATTAATGCTTTTATATTTTATCACCACCAATGAAGAAAAAAAAATGGCCCCAACGGGTTTCACTGACGTTCTGCAGCGTGAAACTCATCTACGGCTTGTTAACTATACGCGACAAATATTATGTATTTAAATACATGTTACACGTAACCCTTCGGTCGCTCTTAAAATTTTTTATATCACATGCTCCTTTCGACTGAAAAACAACGTACCCTGTGATATCTTTATATTGTTTCGTCCTTCTTTCATTTCATCGAATCCTCCATTGCGTCCCTTTTGGTTCGGACGTTTCAAAAGATCAACGTAGAGTCATAACTGTAGAATAACAATGATAACCTGATTTCCCATCGGCTGAATTCCTTTCAAATCGAATCTTTTATCAAAAAAAAAAAAAAAAAAAAAAAAAATTAAAGATTTGAAGAGCCGTCGTTACTGCCGCCGTTGGCCTTTTTAAGCACTATTTTTATTTATTTTTGATCAATGTGCTTTTATACACTTGTGGGAGGAAACAAAAAAAAAAGGAATAAAATATTGCGAGTGTTGGGCTCCTTTTTCCAAACTTACCTCACTCGCCAAGTTCAGGCTTGTGTACATATTTACTGTCAATTCATAAAAATATAAAAACATGAAGCTTTTAAAAATTAAATCGGCAAAAAAGAGTGCACAACTTAACAAAAAACCTAACGATAACAATCGAATCGAACGCTTCAATATACATCGAGGAGGGAGGACTTGCATAAAAATACCAAACTCGAATATTCGCGGGCTTCAGTGGCGCCACCTTTATTTCGACTCTCCACGGAAGACTGCGATCCCATTGGTCTTCAAAACCTCGAATCTCGAATCTCTTCGTTGCAGCCGTGATTCGACGCCATCTTTGCTTCGAAAGCGTGTGTATAAATAGAGGCAAGTACCGCACTCGCCTCTCACACGAGAGTTTCACTCCCAGAGTTTCACTCACCCTTTACGTACCGGTTGAAATTGTCAGCAGTTACTTATATATTTGTATCCAAAATCCTAAAAGCTAAACTCCGAGAGTTAGTCCAGTCGAGGAATTACGCCTCTCTCTCGCTATTTTCTCTCGTTGAGCACTCAACTTGTTATATTTTTATAATAAACATAAACAGCACAGTATACACCGTGCAAAGCAAGACGACGACGTTCTTGCGCGCGTCCCTATATATATATATGTAATATTCCTTCTATATCTTGTACCATCATCATTATTTCGCTTATGGTAAATATCAGTGTGTAAGTGCAGCCCGTCGTCGTAGAGTAGATCGCAGCAGCATCTGAGGATGCTGGGAGTATCTGGAGTACATCGATGTGTATCTTCGTAAGTAACCATTATACTTGTGCATGCTTATCACATTTGCTCTTTTTTTTCGCTCCCTCTAAGTTGTATTCACCTATACTTCCTGGGTGTTGATGCTCTGATCCGTGATTTTTTTCATTCATTTGCGTTCGGCCGTATGGATGACTTGGTGCTCGGTGCAGGGTGCGCGTATCCTATACAGCACATGAGACATGCCTGAAAAATGGAGGCTCTGAAAAAGAATAGTTGTTTGCATCTAATGTCGAATATGCGGTATTCTCAGAGAATTGTAAGTTGCGTCGTGTGTTGAAAATAATGGAGCTTGATCAACGTTATAATATATGTATTGGTCTGTTGGTTACTTGGTAATGGCATGGAATGTGTTTTTGTTAAAAAAAAAAAAAATGAATTTCATTTTCCGTTGCTAAGTACAGATAAGCAATTGGAATTTGAAGTATATTAAATTTTTTGGAATAAGGTACTTTAGATATTGCTTAAACTAGATAAGTAAGGACGATAAACAGGTATAAACGACTCTTTAATAGGCCACATTTCAAAGACTGATAAAAGTCGCTTTTACTTTTCTTTGTTCAATATTTCAAATGGCTTAATCACTAGACTATTAAAACTAAATACTCATTTTATCTAAATGTTAAAATAATCTAGAAACTAGCTACATTAAGCATATGATCTCATCATCCATTATCGATTACACTTTGTTCTCTGCTTTACAGTGTATATTTGAAACCTAAGTTTGTACATGTATTTTTTCTGCTTTTCATTAGATTCTAGAATTTTTTTTTTTTGTAGAAACTCTTTGTCTGATTTGGTATTGCTAAACCACCCAACAAATAGTAGTTGTAAAGAAGCATGGTAAAACACTTTTTTGATGAAAATGGTTTTTTATTTTAACAAAACTTATGACTGATTACATTGTTCAGGTAGTAAATTCTTTCAATACTGGTTTTTATCGTAAAGCAATATTTGAGAAATATTCGTGTTTAAAATATCTCTCAAGTCAATTATCAACACAACATTAAAAAAAAAATGCCTAATATCTACCCTATGAAAATTTATAATAAAATTTTTTCTTTTTTTTTTTTTATATTTCAGAGTAGCGTTGCACGCCAAATATGTCTGTACATTATAAATTTAAATCCACTTTGGATTATGACACAGTATCATTCGATGGACTGCATATTTCTGTAGCTGATCTCAAAAAAGCCATTTTCCATCAAAAGCGTATTGGCAAGAACACAGACTTTGACCTGCAGATTACCAATGCCCAAACTAAACAAGGTAAGCACTATTTAGCCATAAAATATTTATTTTTTCGAGCCTTCTATTCATTTAAATCGTGTGTTATAATAAAAAGTTATGTTTTACAATCGAAAATCAATACTTTCTCAGATTATACAGACGACAACGCTTTAATCGCCAAGAATACAAGTTTAATAGTTGCTAGAGTACCATTGACTATACAGAAGAAGCATAATTGGGACAGGGCAGAAGCACCGACATTAAACACATCTAAAGATGAGAGTTCTATTTCAAAGTCAGTTGACCTTACCAGGTTGGATGGATCCGAGGAAGACAAGATCCGGGCGATGATGACCCAATCGACCCAAGATTATGATCCTTCCAAGTAAGTTTTTCTTTCAACATACATGTTTTTTCGTTAGATTTTTTTTTTTTTAACATTTCTAGTTAACAGTTGTGGAACTTTTTTTTTAGTTACATGAAAATTCGTGGTTCTAATCAAACTGGTGAGGTACCTCCTAATTATCGCTGTTACAAATGTCACCAGCCAGGTCATTGGATTAAAAATTGTCCTCTAAGCTCGAATCAAGAGCCAGTGGAGATAAAAAAGAGCACAGGTATTCCTAGAAGTTTTATGGTCCCAGTTGAGGGACCATCAGTTCCCGGCGCAATGATGACTCCAGGTGGAACTTATGCCGTACCTGCTATCGATCAGTAAGTATCAGAATTACAAATTTTTTTTTTAAAAACAATTTAATCTGGACAACCTAGTTTTTAAATTGTTATTTATTTATTTATTTTTTTTTTTAGTCAAGCCTACAAAGAAGGCAAGAAGGAAAAGCCTCCGTTTGCACACAATCCTGAGCCTGTTGTTAAAAAGATGGAAATTCCTGAAGATCTCGTTTGCACTATTTGCAAGGATCTTCTTACAGATACTGTCATGATACCATGTTGTGGTAACTCATTCTGTGACGAATGTAAATATCTTTGAGTCGTCTAATTTTAATGTCTTCAACTTTCGCTTTACTGCATTATAACATGCTTTTCTAAATTTTTCAGGTATACGTACGTTCCTACTTGATTTAGATGAAGCCTTCTGCCCAGACTGTGGAGAGAAGGAAGTGTCGCCAGACTCTTTGATTCCCAATCGCTACCTTCGCAATGCAGTTATGAATTTTAAAAATCAAACTGGCTATGCAAAACGACTGGTGTATAGGCGCCCAATGATGCTTATGATGCAAATTTCGAGGCGACTTTTGGTGTCGGAGCCCTCGATATCGGAGAAGCTAACTGTGGCGCCCACAACATCGGCGGCGACACCAGCTTCCGGGGCCGCTGCTTCTCACACAGAGACTGAGGTGAAGGAAGCTGACAAACCTGTTGGTAAAGCATCACCCTCATACGAGAAAGCAACAACTGGTCAGTCTCCTTTAACTCGGTTTGGATCAGATGGACAATGATATTGAATGTCGACAATAACTTGCATTTTTTTTTTTTTTTTTATTAAGAACCTGAAGTTGAGGCTGATGTGGCCACTGACAGCATGACAAAACTTACTGGAGCAGAAGAAGCTGAAGTGCCACCTCCTCCCGGAACTGAGCCACCCTTACTACCAAAGCACTCTTCCGATAAATCGTGGAACGATCGCGAATCTAGCACCGAAACCAGAGATGACGAGTACGGGAGATACTCAAAGAAACGGCGTAGGAGCTTCAGCCGTGATAATCACAGGGACAAGTGAGCACTTACTATTGCAATACAAATATTCATTTCTGTAGATTAGATGGTAGAGTAGCTCGTGCATGAATTTGTCGTATCATCGTAATACTTGTCTCCAAAGATAACGATTTCTGTTGAGAGGAGCCGTGTAGGGAAACGTTAGGGCATTGACCGGCAGGTTTACCTTATTTAATTGCAGAAATATAACCTATCATGCAAGAATGGATACTAATATGAGGCCTGGTAATAGGAGGCGCTCTCTTTCACCTAGGAATTCTCAGCATCCTGATTACTCGATGCACCAGACGTCTGGTCCTAAAGGCTACCAAGGTCACATGGCAGGGGAGAGCCGCTACCACCCGTCGATGCATTACGATCCTAACCTGCGGCGCTCAGTGGAAGACCGAGCTGGCACTCCCACTGTAAATATTTTAAAACACAGCTCACAAAATTTCACTATCCAAAACTACCAATCTATAATGGTTTTTTTCGTTTACTTTAATTTGAAGGTCGACGAGCCACACCTGCATCCGCCAAGTCACCAGCCAGGCATGATGCCATATCCACCGACGGATGACCGAGGTCTGCCGCCATCGTCGGTCTACAACGCACTACCCCAGCCGGGTCCTCCACCGTCGGCTGTTCCCCCGGGACTCCTGCCTGATCCGTACATGCAAGGGCCGCGTATGCCCATGTATCCTCCTCATCAACAACCCCCACCTCTTCCACCACCTGCCGGTCACGGCTACGTCCCCCATCCATCAGGGCCACCCCCTCCGGTCTCGCGGTATGATACTGGTAGACTGCCTTATCAGCCGCCAGGCTATCGTCCTCCACAGCCCAGGGCGTACATGCCAAGACCGATGCGCGGAATGCATGGAAGTAAGTCGATATTGTGGTTTTTTATTTGCTCCCTTGCAACATACATACTTTGATTTGATTTTTCGGGTTTGATTTTATCCTTTTATTTTGTCTTTGATTGATTCAAGATAACAATAAATGCTGACCATGCTATTTATTAAAAGGATTTAATATACATAATTTTTACATGATACGTAATGGTGTTGGCAAGATTGCATGTAATTTATACACCCTCAGCCGTTACTCTTTTAATAATCTGTAGTTACAGCACCTTAAATAGCATTGACAGTATACGTATACCATGCAATATCTCTTTTTAGTGGTTGACGAGAATAAGTAGTATTGAATAAAAAAAGCATAATCTTACAAAAACTGCTTAACATTACAAACTAAGTTAGATTAGTTGATAATTTTACTAAAAATTCTTGGTAGCCACATAAGTAAAAAAGGTAAACCGAAAAGTGAAGAAATATGATGCGGTTGTTATCTGATATCGTATTTTCTACTTGNAGTGTTTCGCTAAGTTATAAAATATTTTTTATTTACAAACTAATTTTTGTTGATTAGCCATTTTTAATTATCTAAAGTAAAAAAGTTGTATTCAAAACAGTGTAAACAATGATTAAAATGAAAGCGATTGATTAAGAAAAAATTTATCATGCTTTTGTAGAATGTTATTTGACGCGAAAAAATCAGCTTACTTTGAATCGTATATGTTTTATTTTATTCCATATAACAATTCTTATGAAAAATATTTATTTGAACTTGAAAATGTTCGGTTAAATAAAAAAACTGTTAAGTGGGTTGAAAAAAAATAGAAGTAAACTTCTTTGTAATAGCGGTATATGTCTTCTTAGTTTTTGTTTAAAAAAATACTAAATACTAGCTGAATTATTTATTAAACATTCAGTATGTCCATTAAAGCACGTTTAATAAATATTCAATAAAGTTACAGCACAAGCTGTTTGGGTTTAAAAAAAAAAAAAAAAAAAAAAAAAAAAAAAAAAAAAAAAAAAAAAAAAAAATAGCTCTTTCAAATGTATTAACTAGAATGATATTTTACTCTATTTCTAATCTTTGAAGATACTTATCGGTTGACCTTAACTTCGTCATTAAATTTCAAAATGTATATAGACTGTACAGTTTGAGTAAAATCCATGACAAAAATAATTTTTCCATCTGTTTTTGACAAAAAAAAAATGTATCATGTGAAACGCTTTTACACGATCATTTTTTCAAACACTGTTTAAAGCACTCAAGGTTTACAAAAGTAGCTCTGGGTATTAATGCAAGGAATTTTTTTCCTTTTTTTGTTTTTTTGTTTTAATGACAAACAGGAGGGTTCAGGTCACAGATACGATCAAAATGGGATTTACAAGGTTCTTATTTTCTTTATAAAATTTATAAATTTGTGTTCAAGTGTCGTTAATGTGTCCACACAAGGCTTCTTATATGGCAAGAAAATTATAAATTTTTTCTCTGTTATTTGTATTAAATTTCACGCAAACAACCTATAATCTTACTATAGTATTAAACAATTTTAATTACATATAGCATTGGCCTATGTGTGAATGTTAGAGAATCGTTATAACATAGGTAGCGGTAATCTTTATCTTATGCATGAAATACAAAATATAAAAGAAAAAGTTTATAAAGTACTCTACATTAGTTTTACGTAGATAAAAGAAACAAGGACGAATTCTTTTTACTCTAGCTGTACAGAGAAAAATAAACAGCTCGTTTAGAAATTAATTATTCACTAGCTTTAATATACGTTTGTTTTCAATTTAATTGCAACTATTAGTATTACTACTACTAACTTGACTTGTGTCGAAATAGTCGCAAAGCTAATAATCACAACATTGTTATTCTGAACTAATAGCTGTATTTTGCTTATGCATTCACTGTAAAGAAATCTTTCTTGTTTTTTTTTTGTTTCTTAGTTGTTTTTCTTTTTTTTTTTGGTTCCAATCAAATTTGCTATTGTTCAAACCCACAAAGGTTAACAAATAAGAAGTCTTAATTGTCTTTATGTTCAACTTTTTGCATGTAAAAACGTGCATTTGTAATTATTTTTTATATCCTTTTGCAGTGGGATACAGGGGTATGCAACCTTTGCCTCCAGGGATGGGACGAAACATGCACAACGGCGCTCAAGGGTAAGTGTACCTAGTGAATTTTTGCAACTCTTGAAAAGTGACATGTGTAAAAAAATATGCTAACTCGAGTCTCTCCTCGTTTTGTTCAACAGCGGAATAATAGACGACCCACTCGAGGTATTCCAGCGGATGCTACGCGAGAAAGATGAGCGGGATCGGCGCTTGGGCAAGCACCGAAAACGCACGCGGTCGATATCGCGCTCGCCACGGAGCTACTCGCGCTCGCGGTCTCGTTCCTTCGGCCGTCGTGGCTCACCGTCATCACGAGCTAGTCGATCGCGCTCACCACTCCCTAAGAGACGCGTCACGCGCTCACCGCCTCCGTCGTCTCACAGGGCGCGTAGCCGCACTCCTAAAAAGTCCAGAAGGTCACGTAGCGGAAGTTTCTCGCTCAGTCGGTAAGTTCAAGGCAACATTAAAGACTCATTTGATTGTATGCTCCATCGTCGTGTGTAGTATTGACATGCGAGTTTTTACTCTTTATAGATCCCGATCGTATTCTCGAAGTCAGTCGCCAAGAGGATCTCTTCCTCGTGACAGAGATCGCGATCGCAGAGGCAAAAAACGTGACGTGCCTTCTTACCGCTCACCGGTTCGCTCGCCACCAAGGTAATTTATCCTTCGTATGATAGTTGCACTAAATACTAATATTTTTTTGCTATGATTGTACGGCATCTAACGAAAATTGGTATTTGTCAGGTATCACAAAGAGCGTGAACGCGGCAGGGAGCGGCGGCGCTCGCGCGAGACCTACGGTAGTTACTATAATGACACAGCAGTGCCAGCACCGCACGACTACGGGTCCTCGTATCGCGAGTCCCGAGTCGATCGAGCGCCCCGTTACCCAGCCTCGAGTCGTGGACCACCGGCTGCTTCTTCACCACTGCTGCCACCGCCTCCGGGCATGATCGGACCGCCGGCGGGTCCGCCCGTCGGTGTTCAGACTAGCGTACCTCCAGCCGTTATTGTACCAGGACAAGCGCCACCACCACCGATGGACAGGAAAGACTATTATGAATCATATAACAGGTATTTTGGATACATAAGTAATTTTATACTCGAGCGACCATACGTGCCTATCTACGTAAGTGTACGATAGTTGAAATGAATAGAGACTGGTTTTACATGTATGCCTATACTTAACAAGTTATTTACTGCAACACATGTGTTAAAAAACTAATCATATTTGACGAATCTCGAGTTATGGTATGAACAGAGTATTCTGTTGAAATTTTATGAATGGTAATTTTATCTTTTAATTAACGCTAGATTTCAAACTTTTTATTCATCGGTATTTTCAGAATTTTACAATCTTTATTTTGTTTTATACCAAAAGACAAAATAATACGAGTTGATCGATCTCAGTAAGTAAAGCGATAATGCAACGAAAAAAAAAAAAGAAAGTATTTCACGTCAGTTGAGCCTAATGTCTGAGTACCAATGGTGAAACTGAATTAGCAACAAAATGTCTTGTACCTTACAGTATTTTTTATAATTTTATTGTTATACTCTCTTAATATGTGAATTTATAAGAGTTTTAACATGCAAAGCGCACCTGATTTTCATTTTATACTTGTAATATTTTTTATTGCGTTGAAGTTTCTAATTGAAAATTTTTTCTTTGCACACCGTCGCTGAAAGTTGGTGTTTTCTGTGCTTGTATGCCGTCATCATACAATTTCAAAATTCAGTAAAACACGCACTTTTTTGCGTGTGTATGCAAAAAACATATACGCACCACAGTCAGAAAATGAATACCACTGCTCGTGGGCCCATCAGCAACACGAGCGATGGCTAATTAATTTTCTGTCCCAAGTACGTAATGTACTATTTTTTATGATGAATAATCTAGTCTTTCAGGTGATTTGAGGCTATTTATACCCACAATATTTTTACATGAAAAAAATTTACAGTTAAAAGGTTTATACCAACATAAACACATGGTTACCTGATGAAAGTAAGATTGTTATATTATTTTTTTTAAATTGTTGAGCTATTGAAGGTTTGTTTGAATACTGCTTATTTATAATGAATATATTTCAACAACACGCCTACTGTGATATTAGAGTAGACAAAAATATTTTACTCGAATAAACCAAATATACAAGGCATAAAACATTGCCTTACCATCTTGAGATAAACACAATACCTTCGTTATCTTAAGAGTACAACAATAAGACTGAAATTGTTTTTTCCTATATGTAAAAATGCGTATACGACAACGAGGAAAAAAAACCACGTTATCGCAATTAAAATGTATCACACTGCTATAGTTTAAGAAAAAACAACAGTAATGGTATCAATAATGATGATGATAGTAATAAAAAACGCGAAAATCTACTTATACGCGAGAAATGAGAAGAAACCGCAAGACCACAAAGCAAGTTGTTCAAAGGATTGCGAGACTACTAAAATAAGTGATCAGTGCTAATTGAAACTGTGAAAGTATTCACGTGCATATTTCTCCATTTTGTAAACATCGATTCATTGTAATTCATTAAAGAAAGAAGCTGAAGCGTCTTTTTTCAAGCGTGAATGTGTATCACATTACTTTTTCCTTATAATTAAAAGTCAAGCTCATTCATTCTGCTTCATAATATCTTGTTTCACCAATTTCATCGTCTTCAACTATAGCTGGGATCCAAGTGACGATCAGCCACAATTTTTTTTTTTCATCTGTGACCATTTATTGCTTTTCACTTATTATCAAACTCCTTGAAATGCAAACGAAAACTAACAAATTCATAGTTGGTTTTTTTTAAATTGCATTTTAAAAAGTTTTTTAATAAGGACTATTTCTGCATGTTTTTTCATCTCCGTTTAGCGGCACAATGGAATCATTTCTTTCCAACTTCTCGATTATCAGGTAAGAGTTTAAAACTGCTCTTTTATAATATGTGCATGGTCTGGAAATTAAAAAAAAAAAAAATTGCCGATCATTCGAAAAATTTCATTATTCATCATGTAAGTAGAGAAAAGACCTACAGTAGATTTTACCGTAACACTTACACGGTTAAGTTCGGACGCGACGATTTTTATAATTTTCATCCTTTTTTCAGAATAATTTTTACCGTAAAATTTTCTACGATTACTGTAGTTCTTTTCTCCACATAGTTGTTGGATCATTATGCAATCTACATTATTCGTTCAAGTGCAGGAATCGTTACAAAATAGGAAAAATTATATTTTCAACGGGTCAATGACAAGGTAGACTAACCAATTTTAGGACACTCAAAAGTTACACCCGAATCCCGGATTATAATAGAACTTGAAATAATGCAATTAATGTAGGATTCAAAATTACTTTTTATACCTTAATAACGTAATAGAAGAATCAATTTTTATTTGTATGTTTATTTTTTTTACGAGTGAGTGAGATAAATTATCTTCGCTTGATTAAAATTTTTTCGGTGTTTCACTTGTGTTGGCAATTGTAGAATATTGTGTCAACTGGGATGCGGTATTTTAGTACACAAATATATACGTTAACGTATCTAATGTAGAGAATATACTTAACATATATATTGCAACACCGCAGCTTACTTAGTTACCCATACGAAAAGAAAAAATTCTACTTGGATTGAGTCGTTGAGTTGAAAAAAATTTTTGTTTTGTCAACTGAATGTGGGCAGTGGTTTTATTTATATTATTTTATTCATAAATCAAACAAAATTTGTCCTAGATCTGCATGTGTTTAAACCACGAGATGTCCTGAAATTCTACACTTCAAAATGCATATGTTTTGTAGCTGTAGGGTCTGGATTAAGCAAAAACATATTCGTCTGTAGATATTGGGCCCTTTCAAAAAATGTTGAATAGTTTGTGTCAATATTTTTTTGGAACAATGACATGAATGCATGAATGACAAACTCACAAAGATGAATTGGCCACGGGAAATTTTACCACAAATTGCGGTGATGTTGGGATACCATGACGATCACATAAATTTTTTCTACACGGTTCGGTAAGTTTTACCACAATGTTAATCATAAAATATACATTAAATTTGATGTTGCCCTTACCGTAGAGCGCTACAATAATTTTTCTCTTCGTGAAACACTTTAGGCACCACACATTGATAGTAAAAAGCTCCAAATGATTTTTGTTGAAATTTCCAATAACTACAATTGTTATTATAAACTCGACCTAAAATTATTTTTATTTATAATGTTTTAATTTACGAAGCTACAGTATAAAATTTACTAGTGTTGCTGCCTTGTCAAGTTGCAACCTCACCTCAAAAATAGCGTTTTTTAATTTTTTCCAATGTAGAGGAGATCCCTAAAATGTTTATGGTTAGTGCCAAATACAAATACCGTTGTTTGATCACTTAGTGAAAATTTTGCTAATCATGTTAGCAATGGTAGTCTTATTATTACAAGTAGGAGGTTAGTGTCAAGGTTTTTCGCTAATCAATACAATTTTTGTTCCCAGACTGTAGTTTCTTTGCAAAAGAATCTTTGTATCGATGAAAAATGAAGTTTAGTTAAAAAAATGAACGAGTATTGCGTCTTTATTTACAATATAAAAATTTTTTTTTTTTAACGAGAAAGCATTAAAATTTGTCAGTTTTTTGTTTATTAGTCATTGTTTGATTTTTGTGATTTTCGATGAGTAATATTTTTTATTGCGTTGAAGTTTCTAATTGAAAATTTTTTCTTTGCACACCGTCGCTGAAAGTTGGTGTTTTCTGTGCTTGTATGCCGTCATCATACAANTTTTAATAATAAAAATTATTGTTTTAACAGTTAAAATTATGATTCGAAAATTAAAAATTTCTATGCGGGAAAGTAAAATTTATCAACCGATCTTTTTAAAACTTTTTGTTCCAGCATGGTAATTTTCACTGTTCTAACCATAATTCTAACCTGTATCCTTTCGGTGTACGTATGAGATCAAGAGTTTCGATTAATATTGAATTCATGTGATTGATACATTTGTTAATTATTATTAATGATTAAGCATTGCTCGTATTTGAATCTATGAGTGGACTCGAATACACTTAATGTTTTCTATCGGTGTACGTAATTAAGTTTCCAAACTTACTTCAATTTTGGCTCAAGTTCTTAAATAACTTTGTCTTCATATACTACAACGTGATGAAAACAAACCTTGTGAGTCTTTTAAAATTACATCCATATTAATGTTGTTTTTTCTCTAGTTTATTGTCCTGAGATTCTAACAGATAGAATTAATTTTAAACTTATAGAAAATTTTTATAACGCACGTAAGTTACGAATATAATTTAAAAATTTAGACTAAAATCTTAAATTTGAGAAATCATCCTACTCTTAAGTCTTATTCAAGTGAAATTTTCTTAACCAGCAATATTTTTGTAACTAATTAAAAGAAGTTATTTTTTATTAAAAAATAGAAGCATTTAAATGGTAGCGCATTTAAGAGGCAAATTTATTTTCTTATTTTTTAATAATTCTTTTTAAATAAAATTAGTGTTTCGCTAAGTTATAAAATATTTTTTATTTACAAACTAATTTTTGTTGATTAGCCATTTTTAATTATCTAAAGTAAAAAAGTTGTATTCAAAACAGTGTAAACAATGATTAAAATGAAAGCGATTGATTAAGAAAAAATTTATCATGCTTTTGTAGAATGTTATTTGACGCGAAAAAATCAGCTTACTTTGAATCGTATATGTTTTATTTTATTCCATATAACAATTCTTATGAAAAATATTTATTTGAACTTGAAAATGTTCGGTTAAATAAAAAAACTGTTAAGTGGGTTGAAAAAAAATAGAAGTAAACTTCTTTGTAATAGCGGTATATGTCTTCTTAGTTTTTGTTTAAAAAAATACTAAATACTAGCTGAATTATTTATTAAACATTCAGTATGTCCATTAAAGCACGTTTAATAAATATTCAATAAAGTTACAGCACAAGCTGTTTGGGTTTAAATACTTCAGTACTTGATAATATGTTATGAACATGCTATTAAATTTATTAAAAAATATTGTTATTTAAATTTCATAAACACTGCAATTAATATTTTTTTGATTCGACACAACTATT